GGCTCACAGGATCACACTGTCTCCTGGCGCGGCCGCTCAGACCCGACGCCATCTTCCTTCCCAATATTATTTATTTCTATTTACTAAGTAACAAAAATTATACACTAAAATTTTTAAAAAGCAATACCATTACTCTACAATATAATAAGAAGAGTAAATCTAACAAATATTGGCAAAGACTTTTATTCTGAAAGCTATAAAGCACTATTTAGACAGATTGGTAAAAACCTAAAGAAATAGAGAATTTATTCATGTGTTGGGAGACTTCATATTTATAATGTAACTATTTTCTTCATATAATTCTACAGATTCAGTGCATTCAAAATCAAAATCCAAACGGAATTTTTACTTCATAGAAATTTAAGAATGTGTTAGAAACCTTACAGGAAAACTCAAATAATTTAGAATAGTCAAGAGAACCTTGGTGTTATTTTGGCAAGAGGACAGATGTGTAGATCATAGAAAGGAAGCAGACTGGCCAGGACTGGAACCACATTAGTGAAAAGGTGAGTAGTTACATCTCCTAATACAGGTGTGATAAGACATAAATGAATTATGATGTGGAAAATTCTTGTAAAGATGACAGACCATGAAAATAGCAACATCTGGTACTGATGGAGAGTTGAAAATGCTGTGAGAAGTCTCCAGAAGGAAACGCAGCCAATGGGTGGATATTTTCTGGAGCAACCACCTGCAATAGTTACATGTAGTGTCTCCTCAGGTTAAAAACAACACCATGCATGGATTTTTAGTGAAGTCATGGGTACTGACATTTCAGCAAAGGGCACATCAATTGACATTTTTTGCACTTTCTCTGCTACTACAAACCTTCTTAAATCAGCTGCTCATTTTTAAAATTGTTTTGCACTTTCTCTGCTACTACAAACCTTCTTAAATCAGCTGCTCATTTTTAAAATTGTAGGAAAGTTTCCAAAAATCTCATAATTAGAAACCTAAGACCTTATAAACAAAGACTAAGGAATATGTTTGCTATTAACAAATAAAGAAAGAAACAATCACAGCATCACACTGAACTTTCAAAATTGCAATCATCAAATTGACAGGAAACACTCCTGTCTGTGTAACTAATAAGAACCTTGCAATGGTTCAGTGTGTTCTCAGTGTGTGTCTTCCTGTTTCATCTCCTCCTCACAGAGTAAAACCCTGACCTGTGTGTGAGCTCCTCACAGCCCAAAGTCTTTGGAGGATAAAAAGGATGTTGTGTGGGACACCAGGATCACACAGCCTGTGTGTCTCAGAGCGACCAAAAGGGTTTATACAACCTCGACTGCCTCATACCTGGACACCTTCTGACTGGTTTTCTTAGCAGCTGGCACAGGAGACACTTTTTGAGAAATCCCACCACCACAGACGTGTCTCATGTTGTTCATCACAAACTGAACATGTGGAATGTCCTGCACGCCTCCAAGTCTTGCAAGTTCCATCCTCCCAGCAGCTTTTTCCGATCCATGGTCTACACAACTCTACACACTGCCCTCACTGGTACAATTAGCATCTGAGATGTCACATTCTACTGATCTTGTCCTCATTCCTCAGGGCTCCACAAACTCTGAAATTTTATTCCTCGCTGTCAACTCTGCCTTTCCAGAAATAATCTCAGTAATCAGAATAATTACTTGTGCTACAATAGCATAGATTAGTTAACAGTTTGAATTCTAAATGAAAGCCATTCCTCTGCTGGGTCAGAAGGTCAAGAATAAGAGTTTTATTCTAAGTAATTTAACTGATTCTTCTCCACTATTTCTAGAATCCTGTTTGCATCTCAGGGCTTCCCTCAGCACAGACCATGAAAGTGACGAGAGCTCCTCCCACCAGGGCTGGCCCAGCCCCTCCCCTGAGTGCCTGTGGTCATGGTGATTGACATACCACCCACCTGACACCTGGCCCTCTTCCTGGGAGGACACCCGCCATCCATCCAGAGGGTGGTAAGTTCATCACTGCTGACAAAATCCACTCTTTTTTTTTGTTGTTCTTTTTTGTAACCAGTAACGAGATCAACCCTTGGCTTAGTGTCGCCCGCACCGCACTCAGCCAGTGAGCGCACCCGCCATCCCTATATAGGATACGAACTCGCAGCGGGGGTGCCGCTGCGCTCCCAAGCGCTGCACTCTCCCGAGTGTGCCACAGGGCTGGCCCCAAAAATAAACCCTTGAGAAGCAACAATTTTTCCTGACCAGAGCTTTTCATACCCTAATGTGGGTTTGCTCTTGTTTCCACAATGCTTCCGCCTAAACCTTGGGGAAAAGGAGTTTTTTGTGACTGTCCCATCTTAGATGAAAAGGATTCCAAAGGCCAAGTTTCCTGTTGGGACTGTGGCTCCTGAGCATTTCACGCTGTAACTCGTTCACCACGCTCAGCGGCAACAGACACAGTGCACGTTTCTAGCGTCATCTTGTGCTAGTTGATGTGTCGTCCAGCAGCCTCCGTCCCAGATCAGTTGATGTCCTGACCTTGCTCTCTCTGAAAGTTCTTGTCTCGCTCCAGATTACAGGTGTCTTGTTTGTCTTATAACTTCACTTATCTGAAATACTGAACAAAGTTTGCTAAATCTCACCATTTCCAGATTGTGTTTGAAGTTGTTGTTATGATAAGAAGCACAAACTGTTACTCGGCTGCTCACCCCTCCATGCTGAGCAGCACCTAGATTTGTAGGACCAAGAAACTGGAAAATATTCAAATCTTAAATAGCATCTTAATAGAAAAACTGTTTTAAATTCATTAATTGGAATACTGCCCATTCCAAGCAATAAATACTTGATACACACAAGATGGTTAAATTCATAGGTCTGTATCCCAAGTAAAAAAAGCCAAGAAAATAAAAGGGCACAACATGACATTTCATTTTTATGATTTCCAAAAAGCAAAAACTAATATAAAGTAAAAAATAAATAAATAAATAAATATATATATACATACATATACATATATATATACGTACATACACATATATATATACATATATACATACACATATATATACATATATACATACACATATATACATACACATATATATACATATATATGTATATATATGTGTATGTATATATGTATATATGTGTATGTATATATAAAATGTATACATCAGTAGTTGCCTGGTGGTAAAGTAGAGGAAGGGAAGAACAAAAAAAGAGAAATTGCAAAAGAACAAATATTGAGAGTAATTGATTTGTTCACTATATTGAAAACAATGCTGGCTAAGTCAATTCTTATTAACTGCACACTTTTTGTGAAGTTTGACAAATGTCAATTATACCTCGTTAAAGTTTTTGCAAATAAACAGATACTTAGGTAGGGAAGGAGGGATAGAAAGATAGATGAAAATGTGTGAAGTGACAGAGACTCTTAAAACTCATCTGAATGGATTCTAGCTCTAGCCATATTTTTAGGTAAGATGTAGAATGAAACACATCACACATGTTCTCATTATAGAAAAAAGGTCCAGTAAACCTCACTAGGAAGGTCCAACTCTGTCCTGGAGTGTGCTCAGGGAGGAATATGATCCGGTGTGGGTAGCAAAGCCCCAGACACTGGGATGGCACTGATAATTCTTATGGACACTGCACATGCCCCCTGTACTCCTGGGTTAACTTTTAATCTGTAAAGTGGAAGGAACATTGGCACCCCAAAAGCATGATTTTTGTGCTTGTGTAAAAATGAAAGAGCGTGATGAGTGTTGTGTATATAAC